CATCGGAGTCATACATGTTATGCTTGATACCAATCTTAGTATCGTTTGGAATTACATTAGCTGTTACTTTTCTATATACCCTGGTGATGTTTCACACTGAATAAAACATTTCCTATGTTATTTGTAATTACTGTGTATTGGATGTTATTATTGTATTTATGTCTTGAGTGAAGATAAAAGATGATTTATGATTAAAAAATAATGAGATAATCACATAGGAAGAAGATATATTGTTTCTTACTGTAGATCATATATCGATAATTAACAAATATTTTTATTTCAATCATTGACAGTTTTAGCACTTTCATGAAAACTTGTCAAAATTCAAAAAAAAAAAATGTTCTTGCTGCTTGCCATTACTGAGATTAGATTCCAGAAGAATATTTAAATTCTACGATTGTATTTGTTGGCTTATAATATTCCAGTATATTGCACTTCATTTCAACACCTATATATATATACCGGTATATTTAAAACAGACCAATTTTGAATATCATTTGCTTTTTGGCAAAGGCCATTTGGGCCTAAACTTTCTGCTGGAAAAAAATCAAACTTGTCTGGGAGAAAATCAAACTTGCTGGTAAAAAAAAATCAAACTTGCTGGTGAAAAAAATCAAACTTTCTGCTAACAAAAAACAAGCTTGCTGCTGGAAAATATCAAACTTGCTGCTTGAAAAACTTTAAATATCTAGAAAAATGCTCTGGCCCCAAGAACATTTGTTGTAAATTTTGCTGTTTTTTTTATATCAAATTGAAGCTAATTCTCCCTGTCAAATTAATACATGCTTTCATGTATATTACTTACTTATTTGGTCGCTTTGCAAACAAGGAGAAGATAAATAAAAAATTAGGAAAAAATTTTGTTAGGTAACAAATTATAATATGCTTATATAACATAGACGTTATGTTACAATGTGTTATCCTGATGTTTTAGTTACATATCCATGGGTGAAAGCACACTTTTAAATAATGACCCCTTTTTTTCAGGAACATTACAGGGTTGAAATTATTTTCAGCAAAATTTTCAGCAAAATTAACTTATCAAATCTAAATGTGATTCATCATTGGTGACTAGTGAATAGTTAGCAATGAGTCTTACACAACTCTCAGTGTATTACTCTTGGTGTGAACACAAACCTGTAAATAGTAGCTGCTAACATAGCAAGTAAACCAAGCTAATTACACGGTAGGGTAATGTGTGACTCAAACTGACGAACAATTATGAGAGAAAACTGAGTTTTAATTGACAAATAATCGCTTAGTTTTCTTTTAATTTGTCTGCGATAATGATCAGACTTAACATACAAAAAAAAGATGGACACAAGTCAATGCATGCATAACTTCATCAGTAGAATAGGAGCTTAATTACGATCAATTTTCACATTCATTCATACATGTAGTGCACTTTAATTTTACTTATTGCAGGCTACAATACTAGAGAGAGATCTTCTAGGCAAGGTAGACGATGAGCAGGAGATATTGACAGAAAAAGAATATTACAGACTTAGAGCTGAGCGTATTAATCAGGAGTTGAATTATATTCTTGGTGGTGACGAGAAAAGAATTGTGGACATTGATGCTTTGGTCATGGAAAACCAGTAAGTATATGTGTTCAATGTTTAGTTACATTCATACTAGAAATTGATCAATAAATGAGGGCACAATTTTGGCATGAGTCGAGTGGGTCGTAAGTTTGGGTTGACAAACGTGGTACTGATATAAGGGATTAATGGTAGTCAACGCATTCCATGATTTCATAGTGTGAACACAGCTATTCATAGACGTGGATTGGAAACCAGTGGCAGATGATTATGAACTTGAACTTTGCATCTTTGATATACTGTAGAATACTTTATTTTCGCTATTTTCGCTGAAGGATGATTCTGTGATATACTTTTTTTCCTATATTTTACATTCAACTCATCAAGAATCAGTGAAAATAGATTCCATACAAATCAAACAAAAAGCTTTTTCAGCTAAAATTAATTTCAGCTAAAATAAAGTATTTAACGGTAGATTATTAACTCGAGGTCATGTGACTTCAGTTTTGAGCATTTATTTCTGATCCAAATCTGCAATAGTTGAATGTGTGTTAAGTTTCTTGTAAGCACAGTTGAATCTGAAATTTTTGTTGTTCAATATTTACAATGCCGAAACCCTACTCAATAAATAGAATGTTTTCATATACATCTCAGCCCCTGTTGATGAAATAACTACTGCTTTTTGATTGGTTTTTTCAGTTTTTTAAGACAGAATGTGCTCCCAAATGAAAATATTATTGCAATATTAGGGGACAGGGGTGCAGCGCCCTCATGCCATGGCCATGCACCCCCTTACCCTGGGGAACAGATTCTCTGGCAACCATAAAATTCTTATTGACCATGGATCACATGAGGCCACAGTCTTCAACTGTGGCCTGTCTGATAGTACAATGTAATTTTTGCCCCAACAAATCCATAGAATGCTCCATTTTAACTTAGAATTATCAAAAACTCCACACCCTGGTACGGAGAACCC